TCGCCTCGCTCGACACCTCCCGCAATTTCGCATTCCGACACCTGTTGCTCTGAACCCGGCCCAAGAAGAAGTCGCCTCGCTCGATAAAATTCCAACTCCGTCGCCACCTGTCGCGATATCCTACGGATGGACGCCTCCCCTCCCCCACTTACGCTTTCCTCCCTCTTCCACCGCGAAATCGGAAAGTAAAGTTCTCGAATTCGATGACGTTTCTCTCTTATTGAAGAAAGGGAATCCTCTTCTTGGAATCCTTCTTCTCTTCGATAAAATCGAGATATTTCGTTCTAGGGCATGTAATTAGTTGGAAGATCGGGTGACTCCTCCCACAGATTGGTTTGCACTCCTGTTTCGAACCCCAAAGCAACCCCAGACGATCTCATAAGACAATTACTCGTAAGAGCTTAGGAACCTATGAAGCGATATTTTAAAAAAATCAAATATAAATAATTATTAATAATTATAATTTTTTATTATTTATAGTTATTTATAGTTTATAATTATAAATAATCCCAATGCTGCCGGAGAGTCACCGTTGGAGAGCAAAGGGTTAACTGCTTCACTGGTTTTCGAGATCCTCTGCTCGTTCGATCGCTTTGTACGGTAATTTCGCGACCGCCGTTTTGTTACTCAAACTTGGCTCTCTTCTTTTCCCTCCTCGAAAATCTTCCTCGTTGAATGCTTTGAACCGCGCCGAATTCTTCCTCGTAAATTTGTAACGCAATTAGGGAAGAGGCAACCCGCTTTTCCTTCGTTTTCGCGGAAAACGTTGCTTTCGTTCCGGGTAGACAGGCGGCGAGGCAAACGTGTATAAAGGATCGCGGCGCGGGGAGGCTGGTTACGCTTCCCCTCGAGGGGAGAAAGGAGGAGGAGGAGGGTATTCGCGGCAAGGACGATTCTGGATCGAATTTCGGAAATGCGAGGCACGTGGAAAGGTCCTCCCCGAATTCCTTCCGACTCTGTCTCTCTTCCTCCGGCTCTGCCGAGCGCGTTCTCTCTCTCTCTCTCTTCCTCTCTCGCGTGAGACGAAGAGCACGCGACGAGCATTCCTTTTCGCACGAGCCGTCTTTCGATCTCGAAGCCTCTCGTTTTCATTAATTTTGGGAATTGTTGGAGAGCGGCCCTTGAAATGACGGATGGAAGGGAGGGATCAAAACGAAGCGGCGCCTTTTTCGCGCGGCGCCGAAAATAAACCGCGGCGCAAATTCTTTCGCTTCGCGGGCAAACGTCCCGCTCGGCCGACCAAAATAAATCTATAAAGCTCGGAACGCGGCGGATCGGTTTCTGTGATCGTCGTACATCGATGACGGAGGGAAACGCTCCATCTTTCCTCTCGAGTTTATGATCGAAAAAAGAAATAAGATTTTTCTAATAATAATAAAAATCAATTTCGATTCCACTAGTAAACAATCGTAAAAAGAAGAAGAAGAAGAAGAAGAAGGAAAAGGAAAAGGCTATTGTTTTGACAGATTTGGCATCTGTAACGGTAATCAACGTTCGAACGTTGTTGCGAACGATCAATCGAGCAAACTTCGTAAAGTCTATCCCAAATATACAACGAGTCTGTTCTTTAAACACACACATACACGTACACATACACGACTCGGATCCCCCTCGTAGTATCATTTTAAAGGCTGATTTCCGTCTCTTTTTTCTTTTTTTTCGTCGTATTTTCGTGGTAGGAAGCCGTGCCACAAGAAGCGATAGAATTTCTCTGGCAAGAATTCGAGGTAGGAAGCAAGAAGTCGTTAAGGAGGTGGAGGAGGGGGGGCTGCTTTTATTTCATAGGAAGCGTATCGAGAGGCGATCGAGGTTGCCAAAAACTTGAGGGTTCTCGCGCCGGTGTGTCGCGAGCCTCGTCCGAATATCCCAAGATGTCGATAGGCTCTCCGCTCGTAACTTTTTAACTCGTAAAATCCGGTCGAGGTCACCGTGCTCCGAAATAAATCTCCGTACACGAGAGTTTCACCGACGCGGCCTGTGCGAAACACGACTCCTCCTCTCGTTACGGCGATGGGTTCGAGTTCGATCGACGAGCAAATCGAACACGGAATGTTTTGTTTCGTGTAAAACCGATTCGAACCGATTCGAACCGATTCGAACGTAACCGTAAGAAGCAAATCGAACACGAAAAGTTTCGTTTCGTCTCGTTTCGTTTCGTGTAAAACCGATTCGAACCGATTGGAACCGATTCAAACCTATTCGAACTGATTCGAACGTAACCGAAAAGAGTAATCGAACACGTTTCGTCTCATTTCGTCTCGTTTCGTCTCGTTTCGTTTCGTGTAAAACCGATTCGAACCGATTCGAACGTAACCGTAAGAAGCAAATCGAACACGAAAAGTTTCGTTTCGTCTCGTTCCGTTTCGTGTAAAACCGATTCGAACCGATTGGAACGTAACCGTAAGAAGCAAATCGAACACGAAAAGCTTCGTTTCGTCTCGTTTCGTTTCGTGTAAAACCGATTCGAGCCGATTGGAACCGATTCAAACCTATTCGAACTGATTCGAACGTAACCGAAAGGAGTAATCGAACACGTTTCGTCTCATTTCGTCTCGTTTCGTCTCGTTTCGTCTCATGTAAAACCGATTCGAACCGATTGGAACCGATTCAAACCTATTCGAACTGATTCGAACGTAACCGAAAGGAGTAATCGAACACGAAAAGTTTCGTTTCGTGTAAAACCGATTCGAACCGATTGGAACCGATTCAAACCTATTCGAACTGATTCGAACGTAACCGAAAGGAGTAATCGAACACGAAAAGTTTCGTTTCGTGTAAAACCGATTCGAACCGATTCGATCTGATTCAAACCTATTCGAACTGATTCGAACGTAACCGTAAGGAGCAAATCGAACACGTTTCGTCTCATTTCGTCTCGTTTCGTTTCGTGTAAAACCGATTCGAACCAATTCGAACGTAACCGTAAGGAGGATCCCATCGCGGCGACGAATACGAATCGAAGGTAGAATCGACCAGCCAAGGGGAAGGGTGTTATGGGTGTTTGTATCGTAATATATACGAAAGTAGGAAGAGGAGAGGAGAGGAGACGTACCTTTGTTCGAGAATTCGGGGGAATCCTCGGTAGCTGCGTCCGCTCGACGTGCTCGAAGTAGTATCAGCAAACTTGTCAGAAACACGTGTCCCGACGTGCGCCGCATCTCGAACCGGGAGCCGAGGATCAGGTGTTGTTCGAGTCGACGCGCGGCCCACCACCACCACCCACGTCCGATCGACACCCTCACAGACATTCGACCGATCCTCCTCGAATCCTCGAGTCTTTCTCGATTCGACTCGACTCGATTCGATCAATTTCTTCTCGACGACCGATGTCTTGTTATGCCGCCTCTCCTCTCAGCTGTCCCCTCGATCGGCCGGAAACGAATCGACGCCACGGCCGGACACATTCTCCACGATCGATGGATCGCTCTTGTTGAAACTATACGGGAAGTGTATAGTATACGCGAGTAAACTTCATCGCCCAACTTTCCAACACGAGGAATGTTTCCAACGTTCCTCGAGTCTTGTTCTTCTCCCTTGGAACGGCCAAAAGATCCTTCCTTTCTCCGACTTCCTTTCCAATTGTCCCCAGACTCCTCCCGTTTCTTCTCCTTCTTCTTCTTCTTCCTTTTTTTTTCACGCGATCGACGCCACGGCAACACGTGCTCGTTATTAGTCGAAACGCGTAGTCGTGGCGAACCGAAATCTTTTGATTAAGAAAACGAGCCGACGTTTTTTTCGCAGTATATCCCCCTTTGTCCCTTTTCAGACGCCCCTCCCTCGCATCCTTTCGAATTCTTTTCGCTTTGTCCAAAAAATTTTTCGCTGTCGATCGTTTTATTCCTCTCGCGTTTTATCTCCTCTCTCTCTCTCTCTCTCCCTCTCTCTCCCACTCGCTTCTTCCGTAACTTTGATCTCGCCTGCAAAACAGCTTGCCGGTTTCTTCCCCACCTTCTTTTTCTTCGACGACGAGTTGGTGGCCGCTCGTTATTCTTGGGCGGGTACCCAAGAATACGNTACTTTTTCCCGCGTTGCGCGGTTTAAATTAGACCCACGATCAGGTGGCTCGATCGACGCGGCGAACTTTTTATTCCTCTTCCCAGTTTTGCATTTCGATGCAGCTGGCGTCAAAGACGACCGTGCCTCGATTATTATCTCCGTGACACAGTAATGACGAGCAACAGCGGCACGCTAATGATATCTCCTCTCGAGCGAAAATTTCACGGAACTTTGTGTAACAACCTCTCTCTCTCTCTCTCTCTCTCTCTTTCTCGTTACACCTTCGAGTCTCCTCGAGTATGCGAGCGTTGGCAGGAACTCGAACGGAGTTCGAAGAACGAGTTGAAGAACGATCTTAGGAACGTGAGAAAAAAGGGAGAGGGGAGGGGAAGAAGAAAAAGAAGAGTGGACGAGAGTGGAAGACGTTTTCGAAGACGCGAGGCCCACGAGCCGAGCAGGAGATCGTGGTCGTCGGCAACGTCGACTGCCACGAAACTAAAACCAAAACCAAACCGACGACGACGACACGCGTGTAGCTGCCCCCCTCCACTCGTCCACCCTCCTCGAGCGCGGCACACGTCCGTTTAACCCG